TAGAATTGCAAATCTGAAAATTAAAAAATCCAAAAATTGAAAATTTCGCATTGAAAAAAAGAAAAGTGGTAAAATCAAACATTGAAAAACCGAAAAATTTTAAAAATAAAGAAAATAAAAAAGAGAAACGGAAAATTGCGATTCGAAAAATTGAACAAAAAAAAACAAAAAAAAAGAAAAATTGAAAAAACAAAAATTTTTAAAAATAAAGAAAAAGTAGAATATTTTAAAAGTCATTGCTATTATTACATATTCAAAATGAAAACCAGAAAAGTTGAAAATTCTAAAAATTAAAAGTGGAAAAATCCAATAATTGAAAAACGGAAAAATTTTAAAATGAAAAAGTGAAGAATTTTAAAATCATAATTATTATTAAATACTTAAAATAAAAACTAAAAAAAATTGCAAATCCAAAAATTGAACAATTTCACATTAAAAAAAAAATAAGGAAAAGTTGTAAAATCAGAACATTGAAAAGCCGAACAATTAAAAAAATAAATAAAATAAGAAATCGAAACGAAAAATTGCAATTCGATATATTGAAAAAATGAAAAATTGAACAATTAAAATTTCGAATCTCCTGAAATTTAAAAATTGAAACGCCTTATAGCCGGAAAATCAAAAAATTGAAAAATTTAAAAAGGGTAACTGGAAGAGTTGCATGTAATAAAATTGAAGAAAGAAAAAAGAAGAAACATTGAAAAAACAAAATATTATATTGTTGGAACATTGGAAAATCCAAAAATTTTAAAAATAAAGAAAAGGTGGAATATTTTAAAAATTGTTACTATTATTACATAAGTATTTAAAATGAAAACTGGAAAAGTTAAAAATCAAAAATTAAAGAAACGAAAAGTTGAAAAATCATTAAACTGAATAATCTAGAATTGAAAAACGAAAAATTAAAAAATATAAAATTTGAAAAATCGAAAAATTAAAATCTGAAGAATTGAAAATCGGAAAATTAACAAATCAAAAAATTGAAAATTTCACATTGAGAAAAGAAAAGTTGTAAAATCAGAACATTGAAAAACCGAAAAATTGCTATTCGTTGAATTAAAGAAATGAAAAATTGAACTAATAAAATTTCAAAACTCGTGAAATCTAAAAATTGAAACGTCCAATAGCTAGAAAATCGGAAAAATGAAAAATTTAAAAAGGGTTATTCGAAGAGTTGCATGTCATAATATTGATCAAAGAAAAAAAAGGAACATTGAAAAAACAAAATATTATAATTTTGGAACATCGAAAAATCCAAAAATTTAAAAAATGAAAAGCTGAAAAATCTGAAATTGAAAAACGAAAGACTAAAAAATTGAAAATTTCACATTGAAAAAAGAGAAGTTGTAAAATCAGAACATTGAAAAAATGAAAAATTGAAAAAATAAAGAAAATAAAAAACGGAAACGAAAAATTGCGATTCGACAAATTGAACAATTTTAAAATGCAAACTCGAAGAATTGCATTTCGTAAAATTGAAAAAACGAAAAAAAATAAAAAATTATAATGTTGAAACATTGAAAAAATAAAAAACTTTTAAAAATAAAAAAAGTGGAATATTTTAAAAAAGATTATTATTGCAAATTTAAAATGAACACTAGAACAGTTGAAAATCAAAAATTGAAGAAACGAAAAGCTGAAACAACATAAAACTGAAAAATAGAAAATTGAAAAACGAAAAATTAAAAAATGTAAAAGTTGAAAAATCGAAAAATTAAAAATTGAAGAATTGCAAATCGGAAAATTAAAAATTCAAAAAATTGAAATTTTCACATTGAAAAAGAAAAGTTGTAAAATCAGGACACTGAAAAACCGAAAAATTGAAAAAATGAGGAAAATAAAAAACAGAAACGAAAAATTTCCATTCGAAAAATTGAACAATTTTAAAATGGAAACTCGAACAATTGCAATTCGTAAAATTGACAAAAGGAAAGAAAAAGAAAATTGAACAAACAAAATTATAATGTCAAAACATTGAAAAGTTGAAAAATTTTACAAATAAAGAAAAAATGGAATATTTTAAGAATTGTTACTATTATTACATATTTAAAATAAAAATTAGAAAAGTTGAAAATCAAAAATTGAAGAAACAAAAAGTTGAAAAAACATTAATCTGAAAAATCGAAACATTGAAGTCCGAAAAATTGTAAATTGAAAATTAGAAAGAACCAAAAATTGAAAAAATTCACATTGAAAAAAGACAATTTATAAAATCGGAGGATTGAAACACCCAAAAGTTGAAAAATCATTAAACTGAAAAATCTAAAATTGAAAAACGTAAGATTAAAAAATCTAAATGTTGAAAAATCGAAAAATTGAAAACTGAAGAATTGCAAATCGGAGAATTAAAAAATTAAAAAACTGAAATTTTCACATTGAAAAAGAAAAGTTGTAAAATCAGGACACTGAAAAACCGAAAAATTGAAAAAATGAGGAAAATAAAAAACAGAAACGAAAAATTGCCATTCGAAAAATTGAACAATTCTAAAATGGAAACTCGAACAATTGCAATTCGTAAAATTGAAAAAAGGAAAGAAAGAGAAAATTGAACAAACAAAAAATTATAATGTCAAAACATTGAAAAGTTGAAAAACTTTTACAAATAAAGAAAAAATGGAATATTTTAAGAATTGTTACTATTATTACATATTTAAAATGAAAATTAGAAAAGTTGAATATCAAAAATTGAAGAAACAAAAAGTTGAAAATACATTAATCTGAAAAATCGAAACATTGAAGTCCGAAAAATTGTAAATTGAAAATTAGAAAGAACCAAAAATTGAAAAAATTCACAGTGAAAAAAGACAATTTATAAAATCGGAGGATTGAAACACCCAAAAGTTGAAAAATTATTAAACTGAAAAATCTAAAATTGAAAAACGTAAGATTAAAAAATCTAAATGTTGAAAAATCGAAAAATTGAAAACTGAAGAATTGCAATTCGGATAATTAAAAAATTAAAAAATTGAAATTTTCACATTGAAAAAAGAAAAGTTGTACAATCAGAACACTGAAAAACCGAAAAATTGAAAAAATAAAGAAAATAAAAAACAGAAACTAAGAACTGCGATTCGAAAAATTGAACAATTTTAAAATGGAAACTCGAAGAATTGCATTTTGTAAAATTGAAAAAAGGAAAAAAAAATTGAAAAAATCAAAAAATTTTAGTCGAAACATTGAAAAATCAAAAACTTTTAAATATAAAAAAAGTAGAATATTTTTAAAATTATTATAATTATCTACATATTTAAAATGAAAACTAGAAACGTTGAAAGTCAAAAGTTGAAGAAACGAGAAGTTGAAAAAACATTAAACTGAAAAATCAAAACATTGAAGCCTGAAAAATTGTAAATGGAAAATTTGAAATATCCAAAAATTGAAAAATTCACATTGAAAAAAGAAAATGTATAAAAGCAGAGGACTGAAACACCGAACATTTGAAAAAATAGAAAAAAAACAGAAACTAAAAATGGCACCTCGAAAAGTAAAAAAATACAAAACTCAAAACTCGTGAAGTTGCAAATCATAAATTTTAAAAACTGAAACATCCAAAAGTTGGAAAATTGTAAAACTCAAAAATTTAAAAAGAAAACTCGAAGACTTGCATGTTCTATCTGAGAAAGCTGAGTTTATAAAACGAAAAATTATATAATCGGAACATTGAAAAATCGAAAAATTGTAAAAATAATGAAAATAATAAAGCGAAACGCAAAACTGCTAATTGAAAATTTAAAGAAATGAAAAATTGTTAAATCTAAAAGCTGAATAAACAAAAAAATGAAAAATTGAAAAATCGCAAATCGAAAAAGAAACGAAGAGCTGAAAAAACTTAGATTGAAAAAACGAACGGAAACAGTGAAAAATTCAATAATTGAAAAAAATAAGGGAAATAAAAAACCGAAATCAAAAATTGTACATCGAAATTTGGAAACATTAAAAATGAATTGATTAATTGTAAAAAATTAAAATACATTACTCAAGGGCCACTTTCTAAACCAGATAAATAAATAAATCGTGAAACCAACGCTAAAAATAGGTTTGTAGTAAAATATGATTTAATTTTAATATTCTCACAATACATACATACATAATTTCATATCAACCAGTTCGAATTATTTGTCTAATAAAATCGCTAGGAAACGACAGACGAGGTAAAAGGAGACCAAATTTTTCATATTCTAGAAGCGGCGAAACGTCGATAAACATAAAACGCTCTGAAAAAAAAAAATAAAAAACGATCGTTATATTTGATTATTAGGACCAATCTAAATTTGAAATTTTCAGAAAAAATATCATCCTAAAATAATAGCGATGGAAAAGATTTATTGACTTAGCAGCGCAGTGGTGAGCTGAGTCAATAAAAGTGAAGAATATCCATCATTCAACATACGTCACAACATCAATCAATTTTATCAAATTAACAAACATTATTGATTTCGCCACTCTGTCATTTTTTGATAGATGTTTCGATTTTATTATGTGTATCTACCATTTTAGATGTATTTGCTTCACGCTGAAATAATGAAAAAATAATAGTAAGAATAAAACAGAAAAAAATTATTAACCGATTCGACGAGATAAAAGCACAGTTTAATGACATGTTAAATAGTCCCCATCGATGGAATCAACACCGTCGCCGCGATAACCGCCTCCGCATCGCTGATTCCAGCAAATCAAAAGTACTTTCGCAGTGCATAAGTACATATTTACCTTAACAAATCAATGTGTACCACTGATAAAGCTATCAGAGAACAAAAAAAGCGTCTAATGTTGCAATATTGTATGGTGTCACATGCTCGTCATGTGAGCACGGCATAATGAAACGCGCTCCGAGGTATTAACCGAGTGCAACCTCATTCGCCTCGCTTGAAACAAAGCAACATTCTCGCGAGGTGAGTGCGTTAATTTTCCAACTTGGGAAACTCTGACCTAGCGAAATGATCTTGTTTTCCCCTTTCACCCAACTTCGCCATATCCAATTCCCTTATATTTTGTTGCAGATGGCAGACTAATAAAATGTGAAAAAACTTATGAAATGTGTGAGGGTTGTGGGCAGAAAATCCACGATCGGTACCTGATGCGGGTCGCAGACGCGAGCTGGCACGAACAGTGCCTCACTTGTAACATCTGCGGCCTCCAACTCGCCCATTCCTGCTACACCAGGAACACGAAACTCTACTGTAAGGCTGACTACGATAGGTAAGCGACTTTTGTAGAGGTTTAGATTTTACCTGCGGTCAAAACCTCCACTTCCAACGCAAACATTATGCATATCTTTCCGGCCGGATCGCGATCTTAATATCCACGACTCCATTTTTCGGAGGCGAAGCGTGCATTTTTTTATTGCAAGGCGGCACTCGTTCTTATATATTCTTCGCTTTTATTCACGGCCGATATGAGTTTCGGGAGGCGGCGAAGCGAATCCAATAAAACCCTTGCACCATTCATGGTGCTTTGTTAGGAATCCGTGGGGTTCCAGTCGTACACAAGGCTTCATCTTTTGATGTTGGATGCGTGTTCGGATGGAGAATTATATTTGAATTTCTTTGCCGGAACGGAATAGGGAATCTCCGATTTCGCGTTATTGTTTTTAATTTCGCCTACCTCCGCTGTGATTCCAATATGAAGAATGCAAATTTAATTACCGCTTTTGAAAAATTCGACTCGTAGTCTAGTTTCTAGAACGCACCAGTTTTCTCCCGCATAACGCCCCTTTCTTGCAGGATATTCGGGGTTAAGTGTTCAAGATGCGGCGACCGTCTCCTCCCCCACGAAATGGTAATGAGGGCGCAGCAGCACGTCTTTCATCTGCCTTGTTTCGTATGCGTGGTGTGTTGCCAGCCTCTGCAAAAAGGCGAGCAATTCGTGCTCAGGGCAGGTCAACTGTTCTGCCGACAAGACTTTGAAAAAGAGATGTACCTGATGCAGCAGGCGAGTTCGGGGGACGACGACATGCTGGACGAGAATAGCAGGCCGAGGGACGGGCGAAGGGGGCCCAAGAGGCCCAGGACGATTCTGACGTCGGCTCAGAGGAGGCAGTTCAAGGCGTCGTTCGAGGTCAGCCCCAAGCCGTGCAGGTAATTAGTGCATTTTTTGCTATATGTTGATTAGTTTTAAGGTGTCTTCTTGTCGAAGGGTTAAGTCAACAAGCCAAAACCTCCAAGTGATTACTTTCACAGAAATTTTTTGTAGTGTTTTCACCAGTTCTCCCACAAGAACCTGTCTTCAATTTTCTATTTATTAAAATGGTGTTCCTCTGTCTTTAATTTGAACTTTTCGTGAATGTGTGAATTAAAGTATTTTTTTCTGTAGCATTTTCATTGATGAATTATCTAAAACTCCGACGATCTTTTTTTAACTTTTTAATTTTCCAAGTTGTTTGCTTAACTGAATGTTCCAAATTTAATTCTTTGTTCACGTTTTACTTTCTAAAGTCTAAAATAACTTTTTCCCGTCTTTGAGTACAATTTTTCTTGAATGCCAGCCACTTTCAGTTTAGTTTATTAATCTACTACAATTGCCTCAAAACTTTGTGTTCTCCATTTTTTCTAAAGCGGGATTTTCTAGAATTTTCTCCACACTGACTAAATTTTATATTTATACAGGCGACATCTACATACTTAATCAGTTGAAAAAACATACAAATAATAAGTAATTTGTTTTAAGAATATACATAGAAACCGTAAAATTCGAGAATTAACTATAAATAATTCCTCTTCATATCCTTCAGACACTATGAATGTTGTGAATGTGTCAAATTTTGAAAATTTGAGATTTTGAAAAATCTGTCTAAAAATCCAAAAATAAATCTTGACGAGCCGAAAATATAGCGTATTTATGGTCCCGCAGCAACATTTATGAAATATTCGGCTCCAAAGGTATTTTTTAATTTTTAAACTGGTAGATACTTTCGAAAAAATTAAATCGAAAATAAATTCTGTGATCGTATTCTACAGAAAAATCTCTTTAGGTAATTTTCAAAGGTGGTCAAAAAAAGTCGAAAATTTCGCATTCTAAATTAAGGTTTTTGGAAAAATTGCCTAAAAATCCACAAAAAATTGTATAATATGTTGATAGGCTGATTTGAAAAATATAGCATAATTGAGGTCTCGTAGCAAGGGTTTACGAAATATTCGGGCTTAAAATATTTTTTTTTATTTTTTGAAAATTTCAACATTTCAATATGGTAGGAATTTTGGAAAAAATGAAACCGAAAAGAAATTCTGGAAGTCGGAATCTACAGAAAAATCTTTTTAACTAATTTTCGAAGGTGGTGGAAAAAGAGCGAACATTTCATAAGGAGGGAAATTTCAGTTTTTTTTAATCTGAGAAATTTTTAATCAATTTAAAATAGCTTCAAGAAGGAAAATTTCATTCCTGTGGTGGATGGGCTTCTTTTTCAACCTCCAATATTTTTTGGACTTCATTTCTTTGATAATAGATACCACTTTTACAGATATTTTGAGATATTTTAAAACTGCAAAATTTTTAGTTTAAAAGCTCATTTTTATGAAAATTTTATTCGAAAATTAGAGATTTTTTTATAGGTTCCGACCTCGAAAAGTCACTTTCGGCCTTATCCTCTTCTCTGGACCATAAATACGTTAAATTTTTGGAATCAGTACTTCGAGATTTATATCCCAGATTTTTTTTTATTTTTAGCAGTATTTTAGAAAGCTCAATTTTTGGCATTTTCTCAAGCAATTTCAAAAATTACCCAAAGGGTTTATCTTCTTCATAAATTTTTTTTGAGCTGTATTTCTCTAGAATAAATACCATTTTTCCAGAATCGCCCAATGAAATATGGCTATTTTCAGGATTTTTGCAAAAATTAATTTGCAAGCCGGATATTTCTAAAATCTCCAAATTTTTTGCGAATTTTTGGCAATTTTTTCAAAAACTTCAAAATTGGGCCTTTTCTAGAGCACCTACAAAAAATATCCAAAAAAAATCTTTTTTTTCTGGCTTCATTTCTTTGAAAATGGATACCATTTTTACAGAATAGTCAAAATGAGATTTTGAAGGAGAATCTTTCAAAAATCTTGGTCTGGGACCATTAGTATGCTGTGTTTGTTGATTCAGTTCGACAAAGTCTATATTCCACAGTTGTTTGCGAATTTTTTAAGAATTTTTTCAAAAGCTTATTTTTTTAATTTAGGGCTTTATTATTCTTGAAAATTGCTGATTTTGGAAACTGATTTTTATGACAATTTTTAAGATTCACAAAAAAACATTTTCAAACGAAAATTTCTCCTGGACGCTATATTTTTGGAATCAGTATGTAGAAATCTATATCCTAGATTTTTTGAATTTTTAGGCAACTTTCAAAAAGGTCAATTTTTGGCCTTTTTTCAATGCCTCAAAAATTACCCAAAGGACTTCTCTTATTGACTTCGACCTCAATAAGTTTTTTTTTTTAGAGTTCATTTCTTCAGAAATGGATACCATTTTTCCAAAATCGTCTAATGAACTATGCCAATTTTTAGCATTTTTTACAAAAATTGGTTTTCAGGTCTATATCTCAAAATTTTTTGTAAATTTTTAGGCAAGTTTTTCAAAAACCTAAATTTTCTGTTTTTTTTTGAGCATTTTCAAAAGTTTTTGAAAATACATACCATTTTCACACAATGGTCAAAATGAAAAATGGAAATTTTTGAAATATCTAACACATTTTGAAACCGAATATTTCAAAAATTTTGGTTCATCAACATGTGTTTCTAGATTTAACTCGTCGAGATCTATATCCTGGAATAGATTACTTTTGGTCTCATTTCTTCTAAATCTCCTACCATTTTTCCATAAACGCCCAATGAAATATGAAAATTTTTAGGATTTTTTTTTATAAAAATTGACTTTCAAACCCGTATATGTATTTTTAAAATGAACTTTTTCAACTTTTGGCCTTTCGTCGAGTATCTTTAAAAATTACCCAAAGAGATTCTCTTCCTTGAAAATTAATATTATTTTCACAGATTGGTCAAATTTAAAAATGGTAATTTTTGTGATATTTCAAAAAATCACACTTTTTGAAAGCTCATTTTTATGAAAATTTTGACATTTATTCCACCACCTTTGAAAATTACTTAAAGAGATTTTTTTATAGGTTTAGACCTCGGGAAGTTTCTTCCGGCTTCATTTCTTTTAAAAATTCTACCATCGCCCAATGAAATATGACAATTTCGAAAATTCAAAAAATAAAAATTTGAACTGATAATTGCCCCTGTACTATATTTTTGGAGATTTATATCCTACAATTTTTTTTTTATTTTTAGTCAAGTTTTTCAGAAAGCTCAATTTTCGATATTTTTTCGAGCATCTTCAAAAATTACCCAAAAGGTACTGAATTCGACGTCCATAATTTTTTTTGAAATTCATTTTTCTGGAAATAAATACCGTTTTCCAGAATCTCCCAATGAAATATGGCTATTTGTAGGATTTAAAAAAAAAATCGATTTTCAAGCCGGATATTTCTAAAGTTTTAGTCCTTAGACCATGAACACGTCATATTTTTCGAATCAGTACGTCGAGATATATATCAAAATTTTTTGCAAATTTTTAAGCAACTTTTTCGAAAAGCTGAATTTTTTACCTTTTGCTAAAGGGCTTCTCTTTTCAATTTCGAAGTTTTTTATTGACTTCATTTCTTCAGAAATGGATACCATTTTTTTTTAATCGCCTAATGAAATATGACAATTTTTAGCATGTTTTACAAAAATTGGTTTTGAAACCGGACATTTCTAAAACGCGTATTTCTAAAATCTTGCTCCTGGACTATAAATATAATATATTTTTCGAATCGGAACATCGAGATACATATTCCAAAATTTGTTGTGAATGTTTAGGCAACTTTTTCAAAAAAACTCAATTTTTGGCCTTTTATTTTATCTTCAAAAATTACCCACAGATTCTCTTTTTTTACACTCCATTTTTTTGAAAATAGAAATCATTTTCACAAGAATGGTCAAAATGAAAAATAATAATTTTTATGATTTTCAAAAAATCACACATTTTGAAAAAGAATATTTCAAAAATCTTGGTCCGTGAACATGAACATGCCATGTTTGTCGATTCAGCTTTTTATAGGTTTAGACCTCGGGAAATTTTTTCGGCGTTATTCCTTCTAAAAATCTTATCATTTTTATAGAATCGCCCAATGAAATATAACAATTTTGAGGATTAAAAAAAATCGAACTGAAAATTGCCCCTCCACTATAAATACGCTATATATTTGGAATCAGTACTTCGAGATTTATATGCTACAATTTTTTTTTTTATTTTTCGGCAATGTTTTTCAAAAAGCTCAATTTTTGTTTTTTTTTCGAGCACCTTCAAAAATTATCCAAAGGGCTTCTCTTATTGATTTCGACCTCAATAAATTTTTTTGGACTTCATTTCTTCAGAAATGGATATCATTTTTCCAAAATCGCCTAATAAAATATGGCAATTTTTAACATTTTTTACAAAAATTGGTTTTCAAATCGGATATTTCTAAAATGCGTGTTTCTAAAATCTTGCTCCCAGACCATAAATACACTATATTTTTCGAAACAGAACGTCGAGGTCTATATCCCAAAATTTTTTGTGAATTTTTAGACAACTTTTTCAAAAAATTTAATTTTTGGAGTTTTCACGAGCATATTTTTTTTCATATATTTTTGGAAATGGTACGTCGATTTTTTTCAGGAAGCTCAATTTTTGGCTTTCTCTCGAACACCTCAAAAAATTTCCCGAAGAAATTCTCTTTGTTTGGATTTTGTTTCCTTGAAAATAGAAAATTCTATTTACGATTTTCACAAAATACTCAAAATGACAGTTTTTTTATTTCAAAAACCGCACATTTTGAAAGCGAATATTTCAAACATCTTGTTCCTACACCCTATGTTTGTCATAGAATTTTTTGTGGATTTTTAGACAACTTCGTCAAAAGCTCAATTTTTCAGTACCCTCTAGTATACCTAGAAATTTTGACATTTTCTCGAGACTTTGGAAAATTAGTAAAATGGATTCTCTTATTGTTTCCACCGTCAGAAGTTTTTTCGGCTTTATTTCTTTTGGTTGCTGTAGCTAATGTGAATGGTCTAACAGTTTTGGTAGTAGATACGTTTTTCAATTCCAAAATTTTTCAAAAAAATTGTTTATATTTATAAAACCTGAGGATATATTACTAGTAATTTAAAATAAACTCAAGCAGGAAAAATTCGTCTCTGTAATAGCCTTTTTTATTTCTAGAAAACTCTATACAAGACAAACTTTAGTTGCTATCATTTCAAACAAAATCCTCTATACGAAAAATGACGTTTTGATGCTTCCTTCCATCCTTTTACGTAAGATGGCACTTCAAAAAACAAATCGTAATTACCACTATTGTATTTATATAATGACTCTTTTTTTCCAGAAAAGTGAGAGAAGCTCTCGCCAAAGAAACCGGCCTCAGCGTCAGAGTCGTGCAAGTCTGGTTCCAGAACCAGCGCGCCAAAATGAAAAAAATCCAAAGAAAAGCAAAACAAGACGACGGGAAATCCCCCGGAGAGAAAGAAAAGACAGAAAAAGACGACAAAATTATCAAACAAGAGTCGCCTTCCAGTGACCATGGACACTTTATGGGTATGGGAAATCTGAGTGACTCTCATTTTCCTAGTTCCAGTCAACCGCTCAACCCCAACATTCCGTACTCTCCAGACGGTAAATATTTAGTGTTAGAACGTAGACTTTCCAGACCTGTCCTCAACTATATTCAATATTTACAAACAACAATTACGATTCAAATTTTCAATTTGGTTTTTATTTTTCAGATGCTTATCCCGCACATTCCGGCGAGAGCTTCTGCAGCTCCGACATCTCCCTCGACGACAGCACGAACTTCGACCACCTGGACGAGGCCACCTCGGACACGCTGTCCTTACAAAACCTAGAGCTGCAGTCCTCGCACTCCCACCAACACGACGGCGTGCCGCCTTCAGGCTCAATAGCGAACCCAATTGATAAGCTCTACCTCATGCAGAATTCGTATTTTAGTACAGAACAATAGAGAACTGCATAATTTGTTTATTTGTTATGTATGGAAATTATGTTTATTTCGTCTATTGTGTTATTTTTTTTTGGATAAATGTCAAGTACCAGAAAACAACAGAGTTTCGTTCGCTGCAAGTGCCATCCTGAGCTCAAGACTAGTCAGTGCATAGTTACCTATCATTTGTTGTCCGTACTTTCGTTTATATTATTGACTTGGTTCGTCCTTTGAATGTACATATGTTAAGTAATGAAGTAGATAAATCTCCTGAGTCGAATTATTGATTGTGATGATATATTTATGCCAACTATAGTATTAAATATTGCCTAGATTTTATTATGTATATTTTAAATAAATAATAAATAGAAATGGTCCACTGTTTCAATCCTAAACCCCTTTATTACTAACTGTGGCAATGAGATAGTCACAACACACGACAGAAACGTAATTTCACAGAAATTGTTCATCATCATGTCATTGAAAATAAAGAAAAATACAAAATAAAGTACAAATTTGGCTTAAAATTATCGCGTGGGGGCTGTCGCTTCTTTCCGAGCCGAGTCCTGGAGCAACTGGGTGTCCACCTCGTCCGCCGGGAGCTGCACGTAGCGAACCACGGAGCCCCGAATAAAACAGTTCTTCACAGAAAGCTGAAACTCGAACATGAGCAACCAATTTTACAAAAATTCAGTCTCACCATGTGGGGGTACTTTTCCGTATCCGTTACACTAATATCGGTGAGTTTGATATTCAGATACTGATCTACGGAGTGCAGGGTCCCACAGATGCTAAAAACAACAATTATAAGAGGTTTTTTGACTTGTTTTTTCTACCCACCTGAGGTCATTTTTGAGCTCCACGACCACGTCTTTACCCACCAGTGACTTGAAAAACGAATAGAACAACTGAAAAGACACGAATTACTAGATTTATACATACAAATAACAATATTTACCATTTTAGCGAATTTCAACAACTATTTTCATAATTCTAGGTTAGAATAGGTTAGAAGTTGGTAATCCTGATAACGGTATCTGCTTTACCGACCCAAGTTGAAGCGACATTCGACATTTCTGACTAATTTTACACTGAAACACACAAAAACTAGCATAATATTGCTAAAACCAAGATTTACAACGAAAAACTAGACTAGAAAGTCGAAAATCATTTTTTCATGTCAACCTTTTTGTAGTTTTTCATTTACGAAAAACCTGCATTATCGACCGTGCAATATTATTGTACACACGAAACCTAACCTCACAAATTCAAAAGCCGGAAACTTTAGCAATATTTCGCAGAAATGGCCACGAACGCGGAGGCTGCGGCCCCCAAGAAGTTCAACGTGGAAATTGTGACCCCGCACAAGCTCACCGTTGCCATTTTGATCCGCGATTATTGTCATTTTCGGGAATCAGGTAATTCCACATTAGTTGCTTTAAAGTGCTCATTTTGGTTTTCAGATGGTTTTAATAACGAAGAGGATGGCGTGCTTAAGGCCAGATACCGACGGGATTTCTGCGTTTTAATTTTAAAATTGTTGCAAAGCCCTGACTTGTCTTTGACCGAGCTCAGTAACATTCTGGTCTCAGCCAATTATAAAGTGCACCCCAACGTGAGGGAGTCGTTTAACGACACTCTCGCCAACTTATACGCAAACGGTACTGGAACTATGCTCGATATAATTGACAGTTTGAACCGGAATATGACTTTCAATGAAAGCATAGGGCCTGGGTTGGACACTTATTGTATTGTGAGCAAAAGCAGCGTCGTGGGGTATTTTTTGCGAAGATTGATTGTCAATTTTGACAAACTGACGTTTTCTGAAGTCACTAGTGTGTATTTGACTTTTCAAAAATATTATGAGCAGTGGCAGAAAAGTCTGAATTCGCACAATCAGGTTGCTGTGGATAAAGTGGTTTGTCCGGATGACTGGTGAATTTTGGCACCCTCTGGTGGTTTAATTTTAATAATTGAAAAAAATTTTAGGGGGGCGAACAGGGATCAGTGGTCTCGACGTCAAGCTGAACTTTTTATAGCCACTCAGGCAGCCCTTCTGAGTAACAATGAAGAAAAGGCTTTGCCCCCACAAGAGCTACAAAAAAGAATCTCAAATTTACTCATATCGAACCCATCATTGTCTGAAGCTGTATGTTTTTTTCAATCAAGTTAAAAATTCTAACCTCTGATTTTAGCACTTTCTGTCTTATTTAAACTACTTGAGGGTGAAAGAGTTCTGTGGGGCCATCAGTAGTTTGTATCACTGCTTTGACAGAAGTAAAACTACAGACAGTAAAGTGTCTGTAGATGATAAACACAGAATTTACAGATTCGCTGCACTAAATCTAGCAGTGTTACATTACCACTTTGACCATAAGTAAGTCACCAAAATAATAAATTTTTAAACTATGTATATTGTGTTATATTCCAGAGAAGAAGCTCTCGCTTCCTTAAAAGAAGCCATCAGAATTTCCCAAGCCGCCAACGACAACATTTGCCTCCAGCACGCCCTCTGTTGGCTCTATCGCCTCACCCCCATCAACAAAGACAAACTAATTGAACACTCAGTATCCAAAAGTTTCGAGCTGAACCTCTCCTACACCACCTCCCTCGGTATTCAAACTTTCGTCCAATACGCTTGCTTAGTCTCGGGTTACCCCCACCAAATCTTCGAAACTCTAACAAAAGGCGACTTAATCAACTGCCAACATAACCTAAAAGACTTAATTTCGAACAGTTACTCAGTAAAGTCGGCGCTTTGGCAGTTTTACGGTAAATCAGAAATGTCAATGCTGTGGAGCCAGTTGCTCTTTTATCTCAATATTAACAACAATAACGACAGCAAGGGGATTTACTCAGAGGGGTTTTGTCTCGGTGTTTGCAATGTTGCCAACCTTTTACTCATCCAAGGCAGCTACAACCTAGTTCACACTATACTAAATTTCGCCAAAGAGCGCTTCCCGAGTGAGCCAAACTCGCACATTTGGATGCTTTGTGAAAACTTGTTTATTTTCACGAGAGCGCTGTATCACGAAAACTGGATTGAAGCTGAAGAAGCGGCTCAAAAAACCCTAGTTGTGGATAAGTGGGAGGGTTATTTGAGGTTGGCAGAACTGTACTATCACAAACAGGACTACACCGAAGCGCAGAGATACGTAGATACTTTGCTTAATCGCTTTGAAAGTAACAAAAAATACAAACTCAGAGTGTTGTATTACGTGAGGGCGAAAATTTTGCTGGCCGAAATTCAGTTTTCTAGTAGTTATCCTGATAAGGTGTCGCCTGGGATTATCACGTTGCTTAATAATTGTTTGATTGAGACGAATAAGTATAATTTGGATTATCACTCGGCGTTGATTCATTTGCATATAGCTAATATTCAGTTGAGTATGGGGATGATGGCGCAGGCTCTTCGGGTGTTGGAGCGGTGTCTGGTGCAGATTTTGGCCCATGGGGGGTGTTTCGATAGGGCTAGGGCTGTTTTGTTGTACGTGAAGTGTTTGGTGGCGCATTCGGATCAGTTGGAGGTTGGGGAAAGGAGGAATGTGGTGCTTAATGCTGCTGAGATGTTGGAGAGGGTGAAGGAGGATTTTAGGGTCGTGGAGGCGTATTCGAGGGTCAAGGATGTGTTGTATTTGCAGGTAGGGGTTGCAGTTTGTTTTATAATTTACAACTGCAATTTTAATTAATAGTGAGAGTCGATTGTGTGTATTTATTGTGTTGCTATCGGTTGTGGAATTACATAAAAGAAATTTTTATCATGTTGACCTCATCCTTTTGAGCGGATAGTGTACTAATTGCTTTCAAGGCAACAGGTGCTGCAGTTTTGTTTTCAAGAAAACAAATTTTTTTCACTTACGGCATCGTTTCTTTGATAACTGCAACCGTTTTTCCGGAATCGACCGTTGAATTATCGAGATTTTTAGGAATTCTCAAAAATTCGCATTTCGTACCGATTCTTTCGAAAATGTTGCTCCGTGACCATCAACACACTATATTTTTGGAATCAGCATGTCGAGATCTACATCCCTGAATTTTTTCGCAATTTTTAGACCACTTTTTTAAAAGTGAAATTTTTTCAATGGTCCCCCCTTCTTCAAATTTCGGCCAAATTTTGACATTTTCGAAACTTAACCAAACACATTTTCTTGTAGATTTCGACCTTTTGAACTCACTTCCGGCATCGTTTCTTCGATAACTGCAACCGTTTTTCCGGAATCGACCATTGAAATATCGAAATTTTTAGAAATCTTCAAAAATTCGCATTTCGTACCGATTCTCTCGAAAATGTTGATCCATGACCATCAACACACAATATTTCTGTAATCAGCATGTCGAGATCTACATCCCTGAATTTTTTCGCAATTTTTAGACAACTTTTTTAAAAGTGAAATTTTTTCAATGGTCCCCCTTTTTCAAATTTCAGCCAAATTTTGACATTTTCGAAACTCAACCAAACACATTTTCTTGTAGATTTCGAGCTCTAGAACTCACTTCCGGCATCGTTTCTTTGATAACTGCAACCGTTTTTCCGGAATCGAGCGTTGAAATATCGAAATTTTTACAAACCTTCAAAAATTCGCATTTCGGACCGATTCTTTCGAAAATGTTGCTCCGTGACCATCAACATACTATATTTTTAGAATCAGCATGTCGAGATCTACATCCCTGAATTTTTTCGCAATTTTTAGACAACTTTTTTAAAAGTGAAATTTTTTCAATGGTCCCCCCTTCTTCAAATTTCGCCAGAATTTTGACATTTTCGAAACTTAACTAAACACATTTTCTTATAGATTTCCAGCTCTAGAACTCACTTCCGGCATCGTTTCTTAGATAACTGCAACCGTTTTTTCGGAATCGAGCGTTGAATTATCGAAATTTTTAGAAATCTTCAAAAATTCGCATTTCGTATTGATTCTTTCGAAAATGTTGCTCCGTGACCATCAACACACTATATTTTTGGAATCAGCATGTCGAGATCTACATCCCTGAATTTTTTCGTAATTTTTCGACAACTTTTTTAAAAGTGAAATTTTTTCAATGGTCCCCCCTTCTTCAAATTTCGGAAAAATTTTGACATTTTCGAAACTTAACTAAACACATTTTCTTGTAGATTTCGAACTCTAGAACTCACTTCCGCTATCGATTCTTTGATAACTGCAATCGTTTTTTCGGAATCGAGCATTGAAATATCGAAATTTTTAGAAATCTTCAAAAATTCGCATTTCGTACCGATTCTTTCGAAAATGTTGCTCTGTGACCATCAACACACTATATTTTTGGAATCAGCATGTCGAGATCTACATCCCTGAATTTTTTCGTAATTTTTCGACAACTTTTTTAAAAGTGAAATTTTTTCAATGGTCCCCCCTTCTTCAAATTTCGGGAAAATGTTGACATTTTCGAAACTTAACTAAACACATTTTCTTATAGATTTCCAGCTCTAGAACTCACTTCCGGCATCGTTTCTTTGATAACTGCAACCGTTTTTTCGGAATCGAGCGTTGAATTATCGAAATTTTTAGAAATCTTCAAAAATTCGCATTTTGTACCGATTCTTTCGAAAATGTTGCTCCGTGACCATCAACACACTATATTTTTGGAATCAGCATGTCGAGATCTACATCCCTGAATTTTTTCGTAATTTTTCGACAACTTTTTTAAAAGTGAAATTTTTTCAATGGTCCCCCCTTCTTCAAATTTCGGGAAAATGTTGACATTTTCGAAACTTAACTAAACACATTTTCTTATAGATTTCCAGCTCTAGAACTCACTTCCGGCATCGTTTCTTAGATAACTGCAACCGTTTTTTCAGAATCGAGCGTTGAATTATCGAAATTTTTAGAAATCTTCAAAAATTCGCATTTCGTATCGATTCTTTCGAAAATGTTGCTCCGTGACCGTCAACACACTATATTTTTGGAATCAGCATGTCGAGATCTACATCCCTGAATTTTTTCATAATTTTTCGACAACTTTTTTAAAAGTGAAATTTTTTCAATGGTCCCCCCTTCTTCAAATTTCGGCCAAATTTTGACATTTTCGAAACTTAACTAAACACATTTTCTTGTAGATTTCGAGCTCTAGAACTCACTTTCGGCATCGTTTCTTTGATAACTGCAACCGTTTTTCCGGAATGGAGCGTTGAAATATCGAAATTTTTAGAAATCTTAAAAAAATCACATTTCGCACCGATTCTAACGAAAATGTTGCTCCGTGACCATCAACACACTATATTTTTGGAATCAGCATGTCGAGATCTACATCCCTGAATTTTTTCGTAATTTTTCGACAACTTTTTTAAAAGTGAAATTTTTTCAATGGTCCCCCCTTCTTCAAATTTCGGCCAAATTTTGACATTTTCTAAACTTAACTAAACACATTTTCTTGTAGATTTCGAGCTCTAGAACTCACTTCCGGCATCGTTTCTTTGATAACTGCAACCGTTTTTCCGGAATCAACCGTTGAAATTTCCAATTTTTAGAAATCTCCAAAAATTAACTTTTCGCACCGATTCTTTCGAAAATGTTGCTCCGTGACCATCAACACACTATATTTTTGGAATCAGCATGTCGAGATCTACATCCCTGAATTTTTTCGTAATTTTTCGACAACTTTTTTAAAAGTGAAATTTTTTCTATGGTTCCCCCTTCTTCAAATTTCGCCAGAATTTTGACATTTTCGAAACTTAACTAAACACATTTTCTTATAGATTTCCAGCTCTAGAACTCACTTCCGGCATCGTTTCTTAGATAACTGCAACCGTTTTTTCGGAATCGAGCGTTGAATTATCGAAATTTTTAGAAATCTTCAAAAATTCGCATTTCGTATTGATTCTTTCGAAAATGTTGCTCCGTGACCATCAACACACTATATTTTTGGAATCAGCATGTCGAGATCTACATCCCTGAATTTTTTCGTAATTTTTCGACAACTTTTTTAAAAGTGAAATTTTTTCAATGGTCCCCCCTTCTTCAAATTTCGGAAAAATTTTGACATTTTCGAAACTTAACTAAACACATTTTCTTGTAGATTTCGAACTCTAGAACTCACTTCCGCTATCGATTCTTTGATAACTGCAATCGTTTTTTCGGAATCGAGCATTGAAATATCGAAATTTTTAGAAATCTTCAAAAATTCGCATTTCGTACCGATTCTTTCGAAAATGTTGCTCTGTGACCATCAACACACTATATTTTTGGAATCAGCATGTCGAGATCTACATCCCTGAATTTTTTCGTAATTTTTCGACAACTTTTTTAAAAGTGAAATTTTTTCAATGGTCCCCCCTTCTTCAAATTTCGGGAAAATGTTGACATTTTCGAAACTTAACTAAACACATTTTCTTATAGATTTCCAGCTCTAGAACTCACTTCCGGCATCGTTTCTTTGATAACTGCAACCGTTTTTTCGGAATCGAGCGTTGAATTATCGAAATTTTTAGAAATCTTCAAAAATTCGCATTTTGTACCGATTCTTTCGAAAATGTTGCTCCGTGACCATCAACACACTATATTTTTGGAATCAGCATGTCGAGATCTACATCCCTGAATTTTTTCGTAATTTTTCGACAACTTTTTTAAAAGTGAAATTTTTTCAATGGTCCCCCCTTCTTCAAATTTCGGGAAAATGTTGACATTTTCGAAACTTAACTAAACACATTTTCTTATAGATTTCCAGCTCTAGAACTCACTTCCGGCATCGTTTCTTAGATAACTGCAACCGTTTTTTCAGAATCGAGCGTTGAATTATCGAAATTTTTAGAAATCTTCAAAAATTCGCATTTCGTATCGATTCTTTCGAAAATGTTGCTCCGTGACCATCAACACACTATATTTTTGGAATCAGCATGTCGAGATCTACATCCCTGAATTTTTTCATAATTTTTCGACAACTTTTTTAAAAGTGAAATTTTTTCAATGGTCCCCCCTTCTTCAAATTTCGGCCAAATTTTGACATTTTCGAAACTTAACTAAACACATTTTCTTGTAGATTTCGAGCTCTAGAACTCACTTTCGGCATCGTTTCTTTGATAACTGCAACCGTTTTTCCGGAATAGAGCGTTGAAATATCGAAATTTTTAGAAATCTTAAAAAAATCACATTTCGCACCGATTCTAACGAAAATGTTGCTCCGTGACCATCAACACACTATATTTTTGGAATCAGCATGTCGAGATCTACATCCCTGAATTTTTTCGTAATTTTTCGACAACTTTTTTAAAAGTGAAATTTTTTCAATGGTCCCCCCTTCTTCAAATTTCGGCCAAATTTTGACATTTTCGAAACTTAACTAAACACATTTTCTTATAGATTTCCAGCTCTAGAACTCACTTCCGGCATCGTTTCTTTGATAACTGCAACCGTTTTTTCGGAATCGAGCGTTGAATTATCGAAATTTTTAGAAATCTTCAAAAATTCGCATTTCGTACCGATTCTTTCGAAAATGTTGCTCCGTGACCATCAACACACTATATTTTTGGAATCAGCATGTCGAGATCTACATCCCTGAATTTTTTCGTAATTTTTCGACAACTTTTTTAAAAGTGAAATTTTTTCAATGGTCCCCCCTTCTTCAAATTTCGGCAAAATTTTGACATTTTCGAAACTTCACTAAACACATTTTCTTGTAGATTTCGAGC